GACACCTCCAAATTACCCAACATGGCTAATTTGACCCCCTACGAAAACCTCTGCTCTTTGGTATATTGGCCATCTTTTATAAATGAGCACAACCAGAAAGTCGATTCATTATTTCACANTCCATTCCCCTTGACACCTCCAAATTACCCAACATGGCTAATTTGACCCCCTATGAAAACCTCTGCTCTTTAGTATTCTGGCCATCTTTTATAAATGAGCACAACCAGAAAGTCGATTCATTATTTCACAGTTTCTCGGTTTAAAAAATTGCGGAATGTTATCAAAACGAGATTGAAATGAACTGACGAGGGTTGAGACAATCGGCAAAAATATGCTCGCCGTTACAGTGTTACTGCATATATTGGTCACGATCATCGTGGCCACTATAAAAATGGCTTGTAGCAAAGGCGTTGGTAGTTGGCTCAAATGGACGAGCAAATCACCGATAACTGCCGATAGACCAGATTCTTTCACTCCTTCAACACATATTTCATTCATAACCAAAAAAACTCGGAAAATATCCGATGAGCAGGGAACATATCCGATGAGGCCCACTCAATAAGATTCTCAGGTCACATATTCACGATTCATGTGCCTATCTAACAAAACACAGCCATATGATTCAAATCGCGATCATTCCACTCAAATAAGAAGAGCAACAATTAATCGCAAATCGATCATCTCCCGACAATACAATAGTCAGCATGACCAGAAACACCATCACCCTCACCTATCCATTCTCATTCAGATATTAACCTCCTCTGGTTGCTTTTTTCGCTAAATCACAACTATTTCTTTTATTCTACGAGTATTCTATCAGATTTGCGAATTAATGAATATGACAATATCTGACCAGCTGCTAGAGCGAAACCACCGCCGAGTAGCAGAACAACACTCCATGGAAACTGAGTTTGGATGGTTCGCCAATCCATCAGTGTTCCACGACGTTTCGGTGTGGAAAAAGGATCTGAAACCACTTGTTGACCTCATTTCCTCATTATGCCGTTCCAGGAATCTTTTTAACTATGCATATTCCCCCAAATGTCACATAAATTTAGAAGTGCATTGTAGAACTTCGCAAACTCAATGGGCAATGAACAACCTCTACCAAATTTCATTTCATCTTTAGTTATTCGACAATTAAAAATCGCATTCACCTCGTTTATCGCAAAACGACAAATCTGGCCATTCATCTGGCAACGCAAACAGCAACACTGTAACCAATATTGCACTTGTTGCATCCGTATAATACCTGAAATGATTTATATCAACTCGGATCACGCGGAACTGCTGTCAGTTCTTTCAAATAACACTTTTCTGCCTTCAGAGAGATTCTTACCCTTTCGGGAAGAGGTCACCAAAGCCTGGTATCACCTCAGGTTCGCGACCCATCCATAACAATATCAGCAGCGCAAAACACACCAAAACACTCTTCTCAGCGAAACTGTAACAATGCTGGTAATGCATATCAAAATCAAGCCAATCATTGAATTCATATGAATTAATCAATCAGCTAAAGTCAGTCACCTCATTGGTGGCAGTCGATTATATCGACGTTTCATCACATTCGCAGCCTCTTCATCAGCCGGATACGAGTGCCGTAAAAAGATGAATAGTAATATTATATAGCAAACTAGCAAGCAGATACTCATCAGTGGAAACGCAAAAGCGATCCACGTCAAATAGTTCAGATCTGTATCTGTGTTTGGAAACAATCTGAAACATTCATCAACAATAACGCCGATAAGAAAGATCATAAAGCAACAGTTTTATTCTGAGAAGTTTGTTGGAATTTGTTGCAATGTCACTGCAAAATTCTTGAAATAATCGCACTATTCGAAATTTGACTCACGTTGCAATTTGTCCAACCATCACAAGATTCGGCGGTGTTCCCGTGATAGTGGCTGTTCCACCGATATTTGCCGCAAAACAAATGCATATCACAAGTCCTTTGGCCATATCCGATTCTTCTTTCGTCGATGGCAAATGATCAGGAATTTCGATCCTGGAAAGATACATACATCTGTACATGGTTCTATAGCGTCGTTCATTGACCATCGATAGGTCGGTCTCTTATCGTTTATTTTCTGTCACGAGCAATCTCTTTAGTTAATCTATTAGTGACACTCTTCAGTAGTTTTAAAAAAATTTGATGTGAGAATCTGCGAATCTAAAAGTGATCAAAATGCAAGCAATTTTCTATAATGAAGCCGGCAATTTCAATAAAACTATCTGCTAAACCCACGTAACAATGCAAAAGAGGCAGCTATTTAATAGAGAAGCATTGAATCGAGCTGATCCCTCACTACTGCATTTAATTGCTTGGATGTTTTATTCAACGACGTTAGATGATGATTCGTATTCGTATTTTTCATCACCGAAATCGTTATTCTCCAAAGTGAGTGCCGTTCTAAATTGCTTTCTTTTCCTTTCCAATAAATTTGAGTAAACAAATAAATGAGCAGAAAGAACGCATTATGTTCTTTGTTCAGCAGCTAATCACGAGATGCTCGAAGCAGTCACTCAACGCAGCATCACATAATTACAAACCTATTTCATTTTATGTGTGATTCTCAAACAACAATCCGTCAAGAGTGTAACGCAAACATTATCCAAAATACAACATCCTCTCAACCGTTTCAGACGTCATTAATTGACAGACATCCTGAATCGATGATATTTCTCTGCTCATTTCGAGCCTATAAAATAAAGCTGTGACCTCGTGGCTGTTATGTCCTCAGTATCGGCGCGTTTCTCCATCGTAGACCTTCTGCTCCGTCTGGCGCGATACGACTTCAAAAGTTGTTCGGATACAGACTGCGCTATTGGCACCATCATTGCTGTGGTGGCCGTATTCGAGATGAACATACTTCAAGTCAGCACATTATTCACAACATATCAACTGTGCAACAACAACAACAACAACAACAAGCAATATGATATAAATATATCACCTTAAAAGTGCCGTAACTGACATGAAGCCGAACATTATCCTGAAATAAGCCAATGCAATTTAAGGTTTCTTTAAACGATGACGTTTCTTTAAACTGTGAAATTTTGGTTTAGATCTAAAATGACTTGAGGTATTTGGATTACCATTTTGGTTGTGATCCAACCAGAGT